CAGAAGCAGCAAATGCCATTGCTCCTCTACAGAAATGTGATTTCCAGTTCTTGCACTTCATTACACACATCACCTGTGCCAGGTGCTTCCTGGAGTCTTCCATGCAAGTGGAGAGGAGAAGATGAGGATGAGGTGACCCCCTTCCTTTTGGCGCCCTTCTCCTCAGGTGGCTCCAATGGCATATGTCCCACTTGTCGACCCCATAGTACACTACTGAGTCTTAGGCATTATAGTGAAAGAATCTCTGTGAATCCTCCTTTTGCCCATATTCCTTCTATGCTGCTTTTTAAAATCTCATCTTGTTTGTTTCTCAAACAACTAGGTCAGGGAAAACAAACAAAAAAGAAAGATTGGATTATGGACCACTGCTTATTCACTTTGGAGAGAAGAAAATTAAAAGACAGAAGTATAGATCATTGTTAATTCATGGAAAGTGATCCAATGTTCTATTGGCAAGAGTTCTTTGAAGAGGCACTAGTGGGTTCCAACACAAAGAAACTAACATTAAAATGAATTTAAAGAGTTTGTTTAAAGTTGGTGAAAGGAGAAAATTAATATGAAAAGAAGAAAATATGATTTTCTCATCATGAAAGAAAAAATAAATGGATTACAGATGTAAAAGATAAATAAATTAGTTATATAAGGCTGGTTATGCAACGCTTCCCCAAATTTGACTATACATTCTTGTGCTATATCAAGGTCAAAGTAACATAAATAGTAAGTGAAAAAGTCAAAGTAGCATATCAGAATAGTGTGAATTGATTTTTTTAGATAAAAAGAAACTAAGTAAGAATAAGTACAATGAATAATTATAATTAAACATCACCGTTTATTTATGACATAATATTATACTAAACAATCAATAAAAATAAAACAGCACTTGACTGAACTAGGCTAATTCTATAAATGTTTCATGTACCATATTTTCTTACATACAATACAATTCCAAATAACCCTACCCTATTACTAGAGACAAAATATAGGAGTAAGAAAAGAGAGACTGTGTCTTTAAGGTATGCTGCTGGGAGGCCAGAAAAGGGGAGCTCTAGGGATATAAGCCCAGCTTC